CTCCGCCTCCAAAACGGGGAAAGCAACTCTTATACCCTTTTTTTTTTTTTTTTTTTTTTTAACATAAACTCAATCGACCCACAAAGCCCCTCTGATCCTCCAGCTTGTTTTGTTGCGAGAGCCTCCGGGAGTCAGAGGAGCAATCCGGGCGCAGCCGAGCGTGGCACTTCACCTTTAGCGTTATTGATGTCAATGTGAGCGCTCCCAGATGAAGGGCTTCAGCCAGCCCTGCCTCCCTCACGCCAAACAGGGAGCATCAGAGCCGTGGCGGGGAAAGGTTGGCACGCAGACCGCTAGCTATCTGTAATGGGCTTAATACTTAGTTTAAAAGAACATCTGGCTTCATTATATCTAGGCTGCTAAGACATTTACCAGCAGGTCCCTTTCAGGAAGATAAATGAGGAGGAGGCAGGGATGAATTTGAATGGTCTGGTATTAAACCTGTCTCCGTCAGGTCTCTGCGTGCACTTGGTGGTGGAGCTGCAGCCAGCTGCAGAAAGAAAACCCCACCGCAAATCACCCCACCGCCGATCCAGCCCGCTCCCAGCCAGGAAAAGAGCCTGCGTGTGCAAAAAAAAAATGCAGACCTGCCCCCCCCAAAGACCAACAAAAAAAGAAAACATCTCCAAACACATGCAGAGAAATAATTGCTTGACCTAAAAATCAAACCAACCCAACAACATTTTTTCTTCCCTCCCTGTTTTTGCAGGGACAAGAACGACGACACATCTGGGGAGGACAACGATGAGAAAGAAACAGTCACCTCCAAAGGTCGCAAAACCGCCAACAGCCAGGGCAGACGCAAAGGCCGCATCACCCGCTCCATGGCAAACGAAGCCAACAACGAGGAGGCGGCTGCCCCGCAGCAGAGCGCGGAGCTGGGTGGGTAGCAGCGGCACGGGGATGGGGGGACCTTGGCAGGGCTTTTGGGGTGTCCACTCTGCTGGGATGGGACATCACCCTGCTCTGCTCCCGACTCACGGAGGAGGGTTTTCCTTCGTGAAATCCTCTCTTTTGGGGGGGCAGCAGTGAGGTTTCTCTATGCCATGAATAACCCAGCGTGGTTTGCCTGGATGAACCAGAGGCATTTGCGAGCCTGGGTTGTCCTGGCTGAGCGTTAGTGGGTTTCAGGGCCTCAGAGGGAAAGTATTGCAAAGGACGAAAAGGGAAGCCGTCCTTTTTAGCAGCATGTTGGCTGGGTTTGTGCAGGGCTCGTGCACCTCCTGCACCCGGAGATGCATTTCCCTCTGAGGCAGCTCGGGCTCCAAGTGTCCTCAAGCTCTGCACAGGAGCCTGCTTTGCCCTCCTGGGCTTGCCTGGGTCTCTGCCGGTTCTCCTGCCCTCTTTGTTTTCGAATTTGCCTGGAGCCTGAGCAGCTGCAGCCTGCGGGGTCTGTGACCCTCCTGGCCTTGGGAATTTTGCTGGTCCCTCCCTCATCTCTGCAGCTGAAGGCCGTGGAGAGGAGGCAGTGGGTTACGACTGCTCAGGAGCCTCCACCCGGGCTGCAGTTGTGCTGTGCACTCCAGGTTGCGCTTGTTTTTCCCAAAAAGCAGCGTTTCCCATGCTGGTCCCCAGCGCCGCTGCTCGTCTCCCCATCGGTAGCCGGCCAGGCGCAGCGGTCGGTATTTTCCTTCCTGTCCTGCTGCGCAAGGCTGCAGGGCGGCTGAGCGCAGCGGGCAGGGTCCGGGAGCGGCTTCAGAGCGAGGTGGGTGAGGCAAAGCGTGCTGCCCGTAACATGGCACGGCCAGGCGCAGCGGTCGGTATTTTCCTTCCTGTCCTGCTGCGCAAGGCTGCAGGGCGGCTGAGCGCAGCGGGCAGGGTCCGGGAGCGGCTTTCGAGCGGGGGGGGGGGGGGAAAACGGGGCGGCCCGAAACAGGCCCCCCGGGGCCCGGGCCTGTGAGCGGCGGCCGGCCAGAGCCACGTGATGCCGCCGCACGTCTCCCGGGCTAGACGGGAATTCACGGCAGCGTCTGCAGCCCCACGTCAGGCGCATCTGCCTCTCGCGTCTGCAGCATCAGTAGTGGTCACACTGGGAAACTGCTCATATATTGACTTAAAGAAGCCAATGCATCAAGGAATTTGGCTGATTTTCCTGTATTTTCTACTCTATCAAGTACAAAATTATTACTGTGCTACCTAAGGCAAGTAAAAATAAAAGCAGGGTGACTCCTCTTGGTTTCCTTGCTCTGCAGTTCCTTGCTTGTTCTGTTCCATGTGCTATAAATCACCCGGAGGTGTTTCGCCTCCCTGTTCCTCTGCTGACAACTGGCTGAAGCCTTGATTGCGAGCGCTCTGTTTTCATACAGGCGATATAAATAGTTCCCGGCACAACGGAGCCCTGCTCTCCCTCTCGAACTTGTTAAGCAATGCTGCAAAGAAGCAGCAGATAATGCCAGTAACTTAGATGGGATTTTTTTTTATCCCAGCATCTCAGAGTCCTTGGTAAACTTCACTGTGAACACAGGGAAAAGACTTTAGACCGTGTTAAATTGGGAAAAGGGAATGGATCGATTCCAGTGACATATCTGAGCAATTGGTTTCGCTTTATGTCTCTCCAATAGTGCTTTAATTTAGGTTGGCTAAGAAAGTTATTGCATTTTAAATACCAATTGAACATTAAAAAACAACACAAAACCATACTGTGGTTTAACTGCAGCGTGCTGGAGCTCCCCGTAGGCATTTGTTTCATAACTGCGCAACCTCAGTAAATACCATTAATCAAACTAAACAGGCCGTTTCTTTGACATTTCTTTACCATACAATAACAGTCATCCTCAAGCTGAGTGAAGGGCCTTGCGCAGCGCGTTGGGGACACTTGCTTTTATGTAAATGAGCGTGGTGGCCCCAGCTCTGCCCGCAGCCAGGGGAAGCGGCGAGGTATCAATCTCCCCCCTCCTTGGCCGGCATCCCAGGGGGCACGGCGTTTCTGGAGGAGGCAGTGACCTGCGCTGATTTCCAGGAGATGACACCTGCAGTCGTGCTCAGCCGGCTGTGAAGGAGATTCCTCTTCCCGATGCCATGGGCATCGGAGCCCACGTTGTCCTCTCGCGGGGTCTCGGGTTCTTGTAGAGCTCCTTGGAAGATGCTTCCTTCTCTCCTCGCTCGTATCCTTTATCCTGAACCTATCAGCCTGTTTTCCATTTTAAAAGGACACTGTCAAAACATCTCTCATCACTGTTGAAATAATGCTTTGCCTGTTGTTTAGAGTAATAACCCCTTGGCAGCCTGAGCCGGAAATCTGTTTCCTTACCGAGTTGTTTTTTGCCTGTGACTCACACCCTGGTTTGTTATTGTAGGGTTTGCTCTAGTGCCAGGCTGCCAGCAGGACTGTGCATAGTGAAGGCTTTATGCAGGACCTCGGTGTCCCCAGCACTGTGCCTGGGGTGGGGGAGAGGGGGAGCATCAGGTGCTGACACCCCTCTCCGACTCTCCCAGCCAGAGCAGCACGTCCCCCTGCAACGGGCGCTGCTCCGGGTGAACCCCCAGCATTGCTGGAAGTGGCTCTGAGATGTCTGAGAGCCCGGTGACGGCATCAAGGGAGTCCACGGTCAAGTACGGCCAACTCCCTTGACGGTTGTCATCGGCCAAAGTCACTGTCGAGGTGACGCTGTTTCTCCATCTCCTCCGAGGGTGATGGTCCCACCCTGCGTCTGCCACCTCCAAAGTACACAGCCAAAGTCGGCTTCATCTTAGGTACCTGTTGTTGGCGGGCCAGAGTGCGTGGCACCACATCAGCCGGAAATCT